CTAGCTATAAATCTACAACCTTAATCTTAATCAATTCCCCTGAACAGATGTACAAGTGGAAAAAAGGTCACATTTGCAAGTCCAAGGCTCACAGCTGTGGAGCAGCCACTCAGCAGCAGAGACACTTGGTTGGTTCAAAGCCCTCTTAAAGTTAACCAGTTCAAGTCTACCAATCCCTAATATAAATTGCCCTTTTGAAGCATTGAGGCTTGGGAGAATGGCATGATCTTCTGGACTTCTTAAGGCTAAAGTTTATATTCTAGTCCATTGGTTCTAAAACTTTCTTAAGATCTCTAAAACTAAAGTGGTCTTAAAACCCCTCTGTAATCTTAAAAATTACTGTGGACCCATGAAGAGCTTTGATTTATATCTAATGACATATTCTAAATTAAAATATCTTTTATTATTATGAAAATGGTTTTGGCCTTGCAGACGATACTTTGAGAAGTGTTGCTCTAGTCAAAGAAAACTGTTCTATCTTGTAAGAGCATATAGTAATTTATAATAGAAATTTATCATCATTAAATTAGCACCTTTAAAGACTAGCAAGAATGAACACTTTAAGTATACAAGTAATACCTAAGTCCAGTTAACGTGGATCAAAGATGTAGAGCTGGAAGGGAAGTCACAAGCCATCTAGTTCTTCTGTTTGTTCTTTGCAAGGTTAGCATCCCACATAAATCATCAGCCTTGACCATATAAATCAACAGCCTTTCTGACAAAGCTCAACAGGAATAAAAAGAAAGTTATTTAAAATAACTCCAGAATGTATAAAATATTTAGGAGTCTACCTACCAAGTCACATGTAATAATTACATGAATATAACTATAAAACACTTTTTACAGAAACAGAAGGACTCACAGAATTGGAAAGATACTAATTTCCTATAGTTGGGCTAAGCAATATAATAAAAGTGACAACAATTTATTACTTAAATTATATTATTTATTAAGAGCCATGTCAATCAAACAATCTAGGAATTACTTTATCGATTCAGAAAAAATGACAACAAAATTCAGCCAAAAGAAAAAAGAATCAAGAATCTCAATGAATAAATAATGGGAAGGGAGGGGGCCTAGAAGTGCCTGACATCAAATTTTACTAAAAGCAGTAATCATCAAGACATTATGGTACTGGTCGAAATAAAAAAGAAAAAGTAGTCAATGGAACTGATTAGGTACATAACACACAGAAACAAACCAACCTAGAAACCTAGTGTTCTATAAACACAAAGAACCCAGTAGCTAGGTTCAGGTTCACATTCAACAAAATGTCTAGGAAAACTGGAAAGCAGTCTGGCAGAAATTAGGCTTACATGACCATTTACACCATATACCACAATAAGCTCCAAATAAATACAGTCACATCATAAACAAATTAGAGGAGCAGAGAAGACAATACATTTCACAACTAGGCAGGGAAGATTTCTTTTTTTTTTTCCCTTTTTTTAGGCAATTGGGGTTAAGTGACTTGCCCAGGGTCACACAGCTAGTAAGTGTCAAGTGTTTGGTTTGAGGCTGCATTTGAACTCAGGTCCTCCTGACTTCAGGGCTGGTGCTCTCTCCACTGTGCCACCTAGCTGCCCCCAGGGAAGATTTCTTGACCAAACAAGGGATAGTAAGGATCATAAAAAATAAAATGGATGATTTTGATTACATCAAGTTGAAAAGCTTTTCCACAAATAAAAATCAATGAAATTAAAATTAGAAGGGGAAAAGTTAACTGGGAAACAAAAATCTTTGGGAAGTTCATCTGGTAAATCAAAGTTTGATACTGAAGATATATAGGGAACTGATATAAGAACAAAAGTCATCCCTCAACAGACAAACTATTAAGATATGAATAGGCAGTTCTTAAAAGAAGAAAAACAAGCATACCAAGAAATGTTGCAAATCAGTAGCAATAATGGAAATGCAAATTTTAAAACTATGAATTTCTACTTCACATCCAGCAGATCAGCAAAAATGACAAAAAAGGAATATAGTAAATTGTTGGAGGGGAGGTAGGAGGCCCCACATATAACTATTGTTGGTGGAGCGGTGAATTGGTCCAGCCATTCTGAACAGAAATTTGGAACTAAACCCCAAAAGTCACTCAACCGTACATACCTTTTGGCCCAGCATTACCACAACTAGGCATGAATCCCAAAGAGAGGGAAAAAAAGAATAAAAAAAAGGGAGAAAGAACCTATATGTACAAAAATATTTATAGTCACACTTTTCATCATAGTAAAGAACTGGAAATAACATAATTTGGGGAATGGCTAAACAAAGTATGGTATGTGAATATAACTGAATATTATTATTTCATAAAAAATTATGAAAAGGATGAAATAACAGAAACTGGGAAGATTAGTGTGAAAAGAGAATGAGCAGAACCAGAATAATTTATATAATAACTATAATGTTATAAAGAAAAGCAACTTTTAAACATGAGAGCTCTGACCAACGCAATGAGCAAATACAATTCCAGAGGGCTAGTGATGAAGCATACCTCTCACAGAGGCTCAGGGTGAAGAATGATATATCTATTTTTCGGAAATGGTCAACATTGGAATTTATTTTCCTTGACTATGTATGCATATTTGTTACAAGGGTTTTGTTTTTCATTTGGAAGGTAGGGTAGAAAACTGTTCATTGAAAAAAATTTTTTTTTTTTAAAGAAAAACAGCTTTGAAAGAGTTGAGCTATGTCCAGCTACGACTTCAGAAGATGGATGATGAAGTGTTTTTCATGAGAGAGGAGATGGAACAGAGGTGCAGAGGAAGAGCTATATTTTTGGATACGGCCCAGGTGTGGCCTTGTTTTACTTGACTATGCTTGTACAGACAGACACACCTATGAGAAGCCTTTCCTGATCCACTGCACATACTAGAGTCCTCCTTTCCAAACTACCCTGTATCTGTTCTTTTTATATTTATATTCTCTCTCTCTCTACACACACACACACACGCATGTGAGCTCTGGCACACACTTGTTTCCCTTATTAGACTACAAGCTCCTTGAGAGTAGGGACTGTTTCATTCTTCTTATTTCTATCTCCAGTACCTAGTACAGTACCTGGCACATAGTAAGGGCTTTATAAATCTTTTATAATCTTCCCACAGTGCAGCAAAGCTGGGGAATCAAATCCAGATTTTCTCTCTCCCAAAGTGGTGCTCCTTCCACTGCCTCACAGATTAGTTAGCGTGGCACAGATGAGACTTGAAAAGGTTCTCTGAACTTGTTTTAAAAAAATATTTCAATAACTGTTTAATATAGTTGGTTTCCTTTGTTCTCTGATGTATTTTATTTTGTACATTTAAAAATACCATTGTGAGAAGAGATCCATAAGTTTCATCAGACTGCCAAAGGGGTGAACATCATCAAAAAACAGGTTAATAAACCTCTGGACTAGAGAGACTACATTGCTGAGCTTGGGTGTCAGAAGAACTGGGTTTTAATCCTATCTCAGATAATAATAAATGAGAGCTACCATTTATATAGCTCTTTAAGGTAGGCAAAGTACTTTACATGCTATGTTTGCTAATATTTAGACTATGGGTGAATTATTTAACCTCTCTGAGCCTCAGTTTCTTCTCTTGTAAAATGGATATAAGAACACCTGTAGCACTTAACTCAGAGTTGATGTGAACCTATAATGCTTAGCAAAACTTAATGTGCTCACATATAAGTGGGGGTTACTAATACGAGTATATATACATATGTCAATATTATATTATTATATATCTGTGCTGTATGTGAATTATAACATCTATTAAAATTTATGTTGCATATTATCATAATACATTAACTACATAATATCTATCAAAATGCGTTGATAGGTTAATATAATCTATGTATAATCAGTATACATATAAGTATCACTCAATACACAGAATATGTATTAATATGTATATTAATAAAATAAGTATCAATTAATACAAAGCATATGTAGTAATTAATACATATAGTTAATATTGGTCAATTAATATACAAATATATAGTAACAGCAGTTAAGTGGTACAGCAGATAGAGTACCAGGCTGGGAGTCAGAAAGACTCATCTTCTTGTTGAAATTCTGCCTCAGACACTTACTAGTTATGTGATCCTGGGCATGTCACTGTTTGCCTCAGTTTCCTCATCTGCAAAATGAGCTGGAGAAGGAAATGGCAAACCACTCCAGTATCTTTGCCAAGAAAACCCCAAATGGAGTCATGAAGAGTCAAACGTGACTGAACAACAAAAATACATATAAGTATTAAATACTTAATACACATAATATGTATCAATACAATTGCTTAATACACATATGTAATATATCAGTAACAATATACATATGAATTATTTAATTCACATAAGTATCAATTAATACAGGTATGTATTAATGGATAAGTATTAATACTCAACAATATTTATTAATCTACATATGTATTAATATACATAACATGTATTAGGACCGTTGTGTTGTTCAGGCATGTCCAAATCTATGGGACCCCACGGACAAAAGACCCCATGGACAAATTTTCTTTGCAAAGTTAATAGAGTGCTTTGCCATTTCCTTCTCTCCGGTGTGTCCTCATTTTACAGAAGAGGAACTGAGGCAAATAGGGGGTAAGTGACTTGCCCAGGGTCACACAGCTACTAAGTGTCTAAGGTCGAATTTGAACTAAGGTCTTCCTGACTCCAGGCCCGGTGCTCTATCCCCCGCACCACCTAACTGCTCAATTAACGCAATAATATGTATTAATATATACAATACATGCTGTTAATAATGTTAATACATAGGCATGAGTTAATTAATACATAGTACATTGTTATATTAACCTATCGATAATGCGTAATTAACTACAGTGTAATATTATAAATAATGCCATAATATGAAGTACTAAGTATTCTACGGGAGCGCCGGGGGGCGGGGTTCTCTCTCCAGGGCGTCCCCTCACCCCCAGCTCCGGGACAGTGGGCTGGGTCACCGCCTTCTCCATCCACCTGCCCGCCCCTCTCCCGGTGCCCTTCACCTGCCGTCGCCTCCTGCAGAGAGTCCGTAGCCCCAGCCCCGTTCTTGAGCAGCGAGCCCACCTTCCGCACAGCCGGCATCGAGAAAGCCCAAGTGCCTACGGCAGCAGCCATGGGAACGCCCCGAGGAGGACTGGAAACGAGAGGAAAGGGAAGGAAGAAGGGCTCTCGGAGGCAGGGCGCGGCGGCCGGAAGCGGGGCAGAGGACGTGGGCTGGAGGTAGGCAACCATAGAGAGAGACAGTGAGAGAAAGAGAGAAGACAGAATCGTTAGGACAAGGCGCGGGGCGGAGCCTCCGCCTCCTCCAGCTTCTCATTGGGCAGCGGTGCTGCCACTCCTCGGTTGAACGTTTTCTTGGAGTCCTCCGTCCAACCTCTCTCCCTCCCCCCTCAAGGAGCTGTCAGTTACGCAGCAGGCGGGGCGGGGTAAGCCACTTCCGGTTGGGTCCAGAAAGTTGAGCTGAAGGAGGGGCAGAAAGAAGGAGGAGGAGGAAGAGGAAGAGAGAGCCTGGGCGGTGGCAGCGGCGGCGGCTATAGTAGCTTCCCCAGCGGTAGCAGCGGCGGCGGCTACCCCAGCTGAAGAGGGAGAGAGGCAGGCAGGCGGCTTTGGTTCTCTCCGGGGTTCACAATGGACAGCCAGGGCAGGAAGGTGGTGGTGTGTGACAACGGCACCGGGGTAAGCACCCAGCCCGGGGGAGGCCTGTGGGAACCGGAGCCGAAGATGGCCCGGGGGAGGAGGAAGGTGTGTGGGCAGGCTGCCTGGGCGCGGCGCGGGCCGCTGGGGCCTCAGGTGGGGGGCCTGCGCCCTCACGCCCCCGCTCTTCTTCCCGTCAGGCCCCCCCCCACGCCGAGCCTCTCATCCTCTTGGGCGGGGGACGGGGGGCTGGTCTCCAGCTCGCCCCCTCCCTTGGTGCCTTGGAGGTGGTGCCGAGGACGATGGGGGTGGGCTGATTCAAGATAGTCCCGGTCAATTTAGAGGAGCTTCTGATTTTAAAAAATAAGAATAATCGGGCCTTCCTCTTCCTGTAAAATCGAAGCTAGAGCATCGGAGGCAGGAAGGGAGGGGGTAAAAAAGGAAGTGGGGCTGGCAGCCTCCGTCTTGAAGCAGCGTTTTGGAGGGGCTCCTTGGAGGGAGCCGAGGGAGCCGCCCGACTTTGGACTTCCGAGGAACAGTGGGGTTAGGGGCCTAAGTGGGAGAGCACTGGGGGCGAGGGCTGCAGAAGTCCCGAAGACCGGTGTGGTGATGACCTTGGGGGAAGTTACCGAGCCCCTTCTGTTCCTCTTTTTGTCCTAACTGCAAGTTGCAAATGAGTGAGATCTTGAATAAGATCCCCAAACGCAGAGAATTGTAAAAACGGGTTGTTATTCGCCTCTTCCTTTTTTCCAGATGCTCTTTTTGGGAGGGGGGGAAGGTCTGCCTTTTTTTTTTTTATTAAATGGTAGTAAAATCAGAACAAATCTTAAGATTGAAATACGATTTATTTGGAATGTGTTCCTCCAGCGATTTTTATGTTTTTTGTTCTCAACTCTTTGAGGTTGCCACAGCATACCAATGTATGTCCGATTTTTTTTGTCATCCTTCCTACACTTCTCTTTCCCAGTAGGGTCTAAAGTATATGAATTAAATTTAAAAAATGTTTTTTTGTTAAACTCTTCTAGAATTATGCTGTCGAGAATGTAATGAATTTTAAATTAACATAGGCAAACATCTTATAAATTAGGAGATTGAAGTCCAGAGTGGTTGTGACTTGCACAAGCTAACACCACACGTTAGTGGCATCACTGTGACTGGAACCCAGCTTTCTAATTTATTACTCAGGTCTGTCTCTTAGAATCTTATGGGCTGCTGGAAAAAAAATATGGTGCTGAATCGCTGTTACATTATGTAGTTCTTTTGGTGATGCCATAGCCTTTTAAAGGGACTATTACATATAAACTTCTGAAAAAATACACTGATTTCTTATGACACTTTCATTTTGATCTTGTCGCAGAGAAGATTGAAGTATAGGATTATCAGATTGATTTCCACCATACTCACAGTAATGTTTAGAAAGCAATGTTTTATATGTATTTAGAGATTTATATAGGGCTAGAGATAGTAGATGGGAGTTTATTGGCATAGAGAACTTCTGCATGAGGAAATCTATGCAAATTGATACCTTCTCTGTAATTTACTTGTAGTTTTAGAGCAGGAAGCGAGGGGGTAAAAAAGGAAGTGGGGATGGCAGCCTCCATCGTGAAGCAGCGTTTTGGAGGGGTTCCTGGGAGGGAGTGGAGGTAGCCGCCAGACTTTGGACTTCCGAGGAACAGTGGGGTTAGGGGCCTAAGTGGGAGAGCCCTGGGGGCTTAATCTGGGGTTCATGGACCTTGTGAATTGAATTCAGGAGACCCATGAAGTTGGATGGGGAAAAATTTTATCTTTATTTTCACCAACCTCTAACTGAAATTTAGCATTTCTTTCAGTTATTTAAAAACATTGTCAGAGAAGAGGTCCTTAGGCTTTACCCACCAGATGCTGCCAAAGTAGCCCATGATAAAAGAAAAATTAAGAACCCCTGTCTCAGAAAGCTGCTTAGTGTCAGTCAGTAGGCATATTTACTGTGTGCCAGACACTGTGCTAAGCACTGGGGATACAAAGGAAGGCAAAAGTCCCTGCTGTCAAGGAGCTCACACCTAATGGGAGAGATGACACGCCAGCAACTGTGAACACACAAACCAGATAAAAGATAAATTTAAAATACTTAATAGGGAAAAGGCATTAGCATTAAGGGGAGATCAGGAAAGACTTCTCTTAGGAGATGGATTTTAGCAGCAGCCAGGAGATGGGACTGAGAGGGACAATTGAATGACTTGTCCAGGGTTAGCCATTTATATGTCAGAGGCAGAACTCAAACTCAAGTCTTCAGGTGTCAGGGCCAGCTCTCTATCCCCATGCTGCATTTTCTCTCAGAGGTCTGTTCAAAGAAAAAATGGTAGAGTCGGGAAGACATCTTCCCAAGTTCAAATCTGGCCTTAGACTCTTACTAGTTGTGTGACCCTGGGCAAGTCACTTAACCTGTTTGCCTCAATTTCCTCATCTATAAAATGAGCTGGAGAAGGAAATAGCAAACCGCTCCAATGTCTTTGCCAAGAAAATCCCAAATGGGGTCATGAAGAGTTGGATGAGACTGAAAAATGACTGAACAAAAAAAATCATCCAAGGTGGGCTTTAAATTTGATATTGGAAAGTCCATTGTATAAAAAGCACAATGAATTACACATTGAAGACTCATTTCCCCAGTCAAATTTTGAGGGGAAAAGGATGTTTATAACATACAATTTAAAAATCTAAGTCCATTCATTTTCTGTTACAAATGATTTAGTAAATAAATTGATCTATTTTGAAACTAATTGCCAGTGTCTGAAAATATGAATGCATTAATTAGCTTAAAATGAAGAAAGAACCAACACTAGTAATGAAGTAATATTGATAGCATCATAATAGATTTGGGGATACTTTAACATTTCTATAAGCTTTAGATATAGACATTTTAAAGATATACAATCTAGTAAGTCAATCACACCCTGCCTTTAACTTGATTTATTCTAGAACAACATTTCATACGCAATTAAATATTTACAAGGCCATAGATTTGTGTATGTAGCATTTTCATTAGTTCTTTGCTCATTTAACGTTTTCTTAGCAATGGGTTATCCAAAGTTTGGTAATTTTTTAGTACCTATTGGCCAGGTCTTTTGCCTCCAGATGCTTCTGTTTGCAAATAACAACGTGATGATTTTATCAAGCCCCAGAAGATTGCAGAGCCTTCTAAATCAAGTTAGAAGGTTCAGTTTTAACTATTAACATAGTGAAACCTAAAGAATGCCTCCTTCCCAGAGTGCTATGCAGTTTGATAGGCAACCTGTAGCTTCTATCCGCTGATCACATAGTAAAAGAAAATAAGCCACAGAGCAAGAATCCATGTTAACTTGTATGAGTTGACTGGACACTTAAAAGATGCTTTTTTAAAAAAAAAGGTTAAATGATCCTTTGAACAAGAGGAGAAATGGATTAGACTGTGTTTGTTAAATTGTCCACCTCCAATTGCACAACTCACCTCCAAGCTTTTTCCTGTAACAAAAGCTCTTATTTTTTAACACCAGTAGTCTTATTGTGATGTTACATAGTCATATATAATCATACTCTGTGATTTATTGAATTGGAGGATAATCCAAAAAGCAGCAGAGAGGTACGTGGTAGGCAGGGGTAGGATGCAACACATTCCAAACCAGAAATGGCTGAGGAAAGGCCTTGTAGTAAAGCATGTAATCAGAAGTACATCATCAGGAAAAGCAAAAAAGGTAAGCCATTCAAGAACAAAGAGTAACTGATAGCCTGCCATTGCACTTCATTTATATCCACTGATACTTGGAAAATGAGAAGTAGGTTTCCAAATCATCAGATGGCCCCTTTGTGGCATATTTATGGGAGAAAATGAGGGTGCATGGATGATTTCTAGTCTCATCATTGGAAGGGATGAAGTCATGACTCCATTGAAGTATAAAACTATCAGAATATTGGCCAGGCTTAAAAATGCCTAAGCATTTCATAGTTACAAGGTAGGGAAAAAGTGTAGTACTTTTCCCTTTCTATTTATTTCTACTCTGTATAGCATTTACAACAAGGCAAAGAGAAAGGAAACTAATACCTCTCAGCTAAGCTGCTGATGGTACTTCAAGGTCCAATAGACAAGAAGTCCTGAGTTCAAATGTTGTCTTGGACACTTATGTACTTAACTGTACTACGCTGGGCAAATCATTTAACATCTGTTGCCTCAGTTTCTTCAATTGCAAAGTAGAGGTAAAAACAGTGCCTTCCTTGCAGGGTTGCTGTGAGGCTCAGATGAGATAATATTTATAAAGCACTTAGCACAGCGCCTGGCACATAGGAGGTACACATACCAATGCTTATCCTCTCCCTCTTCTCCAAAATATCCTAGCCCTTTGACCATCACTGCTGTCTAAAGTGGCATCACAAGGGTTGTCCAGCACAGTGAACCTGTACTCTAAACTCACTCCAATCTGGAGATCAGGAAGGCTTTACATAAAGCTAAGAGGGATAGTTAGCACATTTTGACAGTTAGCATCCAAAAAGATCTTGACAGGTTAGTACACTGGGATGAATCTAGTTAGATGAAATTCAGTAGGGTAAATGCAAAGTCTTAGATTTGAGTTCATTAGAAACCTACTTCCAGATCATAGAATGGAAGAGGGAAAGTTAGCAAGTTTGGGTTTTTTTGGTTTGTTTTTGAAAAAAATCTGGAGAATTTAGTAGACTGCAAACTCAGTATGAGGCAGTAGGGTAATGTAGCTGTTCAAAATAGTTGATATAGTTTGGGGCTGCATTGAGAGGCATAGCTTCCAGAAATAAGGCGAGTTGCTTTATGCTTGGCTTATATGGAGTTTATGTTCAGTTGTGGACGTCACAGTTTTAAGAAGGTATTGATAAGCTAGCAGTTGTCCAGAAGAGGACCACTAGGAGGTTGAAGGGCCTTTTGTCTTTTTTCTTTAAGTTTTAAAATTTATTTTAAATAAAGAAAAGAAAAAAAACATTGCCTTATGCACAGCAGAACATTAGAGAGGATTCAATATAAAGCAATAAATTTCCATTGTAATAAATATGTAATATTTATGTAA